ATCCGAAAGAAATCCGTAGGAGTCCTTAGGATATCCATAAGGATCCGAAGGAAATCCATAGGGATCCTAAGGAGATCCATGGGAATCCGAAGGGAACCCATAGGAATCCGAAGGAAATCCATAGGAATCCCCGCACGGAGCAAACGCCAGGGGCGTCTGGGCACCATGCGCTCTGCATAGGGGTGCGCCGAACTGAACCCAAGGCCTTCGGTGGAGCCCCCGGTGGGGCCACGAAGCGTGTCAGGGGTGCGCCGAAAGTCGCCTCAAACCTTCGGTGAAGCCCACTGGGGCCACGAAACGTGTGAGTGGTGTGCCGAAATTGGCCCGAAACCGTCGGTGAAACCCACTGGGGCCACGAAACGTGTGAGGGGTGTGCCGAGCTGGACGCGAGGCCTTCGGCAAAGCCCCCCGTGGGGCAACGAAGCGTTTGAAGGGATTTGCCAAAATTAACCCGAATCATTCGTTGAAACTCACTGTGGCCGCGAAACGTGTGAGGGGTGCGCCGAATTGAACCCGATGCCTCCTGGGGCCCCTGTGGGATCCGTACAGAACCTCATGGGACCCCAATAGAATCCCTACAGAACCTCATGGGACCCCCTATGGGATCCGGGCGGAACCTCATGGGGCCCCCTATGGAATCCCATACAGACCCGATTGGCCCTTTTTGGACCCCGTTGTTCTGTTGTTCGTTTTCCCCCCCCCGGGGGGCCCGGCAGCAGACTTCAAAAGCAACAGCAGCAACAACAACAACAATCATTTTAAGACGGCTCGCTCTTACTGGCACGCGTTGCTTGCATTCCGTATACCCCAACCCTCGATACCCGCCCACTTCGTCCTCGATTGCACCCACTTTCGGGGGGAATATCTTCCTTGTCGATCATTGGCTGAAGTGCGAAGAAGCCTCGAGCGAGAGCGCCGTTCCTAAATTCGGGGTCCTCTCTCGCCAAAGGCTCTCGGAATACCGATGGAGAAATATCAAAAAGGAGCCCTTGTCGCCGTGTCCGGGCCTCCACCAATTTGCCTGAATTACGGGAAAGTCTCGAGCGAGAGCACAGTTCCTGAGTTCGGGGGCCTTCTTGGCCAGGGGCTCTCGGAGTAAATCGTGAAGAAGAATCGAGTAGGAGCCCTTATCGTCGTGGCTGGGCCTCCGCCAACTTAATTGAATTGCGAGGAAGCGAGAGCGCCGTTCCTGAATTCGGGGGCCTCTCTGGCCAGGGTGTCTCGAGGTAAATTGTTAGGAAGTATCGAGCGGAAGCCGTTGTTGTCGTAGCTGGGCCTCCAAGGGCTCACATTTAGGGTCAAGCCAACGCTCGAGCGGGAGCTTCGCTTTCAGCGAAAATGTAGACGGCGTCGAGGCGAGAGCGCGCGGAACCGTTTCCAGAGATCAACAATAATTGTTTTTTAGAAACGAATATTCAACAACAACTACATCAACAACATCAACAACAATAACAACAAAAACAACAGCAATGGAAAGGCGTACACTCCGGCCCAGGGCAGGGCCGGAGCCTCCGGTGTCACTCCCCCGGTGGACGGGCGCACACTCCGGCCCCGTCCTGAGACGCTGTGTGGCGACAACTTCTCCGGCCTTGCGAGAGGCCATCAGCGGCGGTGTCGCGCCGCGGTGGGCAAGCGCACACTCCGGCCCCGTGTGCACCGTCATCTGTGCTGTTCCCTCCACAGAAAACGCCCCCCGTGCGCTACCCCCTTCTCCGGCCCCGTGTGCAGATAAGACGCCCTCAGTGACCCTCACGACGACGACGACGACGGCGGCGGCGACGACGACGACGAAGACGACGACGACGACGACGACGACGACGACGACGACGACGACGACGACGGAGATCCTGAGGAGTCCTCGAGAACCCTGAGAAGTCCTGTCCTTATACATCTGTGGGGGTCCTGAAGAATTTTCAAATATCCCAAGGAACCCTGAGCAGGCCCGCAAGATCCTGAGCAACCTGGCGAGATCCTGAATAATGCTTGGGGAATCCAAAGGATTTCTGTGAGGTCCTCAGAAATCCTGGGCTCTCGGGAGGAATCCTGACGGATCCTGACGAATCCTGACGAATCCTGAGGAGTCTTGATGAGTCCAGAGGAAGCCTAGGGGATCCTGAGGAGTCCGTGTGTCCTGAGGATTCCTGCGCAATTCTGCAGAATGCTAAGGGGCCATGAGAAATCCTGAAAGGTTGAGGGGTGCCCTGAGGGGATCCTGGGGAATCCTGTGGGATCGTAAGGAGCCTTCAGGCATCCTGGAGAACATTTTGAAGAGGATCCTGAGGCATCAGTGTGGATCCCGATGAGGAAGCCATCGGACTCTTTGGAGGGGGGGGGGTCCTGGTGGACCCTGACGAATCCTTGGGGGTCCTGAGGAATCTTCACGTGTCCTGAGGAGTCCTTGGGGGTCCTGAAAAATTCTAAGATATCCTAAGGAATCCTGAGCAGCCCCTCGGGTTCCTGAGAAACCCTGGGCAGATCCTGAAGAACCCTTGGGAGTCTCACGGGTTCCTGCGGGCTCCTGAGGAATCCTGGGGACTCGGGAGGAATCCAGAGGAATCTTGAAGGGTCCAGAGGAATCCAAGCGAATCCTGAGGAGTCCTGATGAGAGCCCAGAGGAAGCCCAGGCGATCCTGAGGAATCCTTGTGGGTCCTGGGGGATCCTGAGGGATCCTGAAGAATGCGAAGGAGTCCTGAGGATACTGAGGGGCACCCTGAGGGGTTCCTGAAGAATCCTTAGGGGCTCCTTCGGGGTCTTCAGGCATCCTGAGGAACCTTGGGGGATCCTAAGGAATCATCGTGGGTCCTGAGGAGGAATCCATAGGACTCTTTTGGAGGGGGGGGGGGTCCTGGGGAATCCTGAGGAGTCCTCGCGAATCCTGAGGAGTCCTGAAGTGTCCTGCATGAGGAATCGTGACGAATCCAAAGGAATCCTGATGCGCGCAAAGAACCCTAGGGAATCCTGAGGAATCCGAGTATGTCCTGAGGATTCCTGAAGAGCCAAGCGGAATCCTTAGAAGCCCGAGGGAGATCCTGAAGAATCCTTTGGGGTCTTGAGGGTTCCTGTGGGATCCTGAGGAACCCTGGGGCCTCGGGAGGAATCCTGAGAAATCCTGAAGGATCCTGAAGAATCCTGGCGAATCCTGAGGAGTCCTGGTGAGTCCAGAGGAAGCCTTGGGGATTATGATGAATCCTGTGGAATCCTGACGAATGCTACGGAGTCCGGAGGAATCCTGAGGGGTGCCATGAGGGGATCCTGAGGAATCCTGTGGGATCGTATGGAGCCTTCAGGCATCCTGGAGAACCTGTTGAAGAAGATCCTGAGGCATCAGTGTGGACCCTGAGGAGGAAGCCATCGGACTCTTTGGAAGGGGGGGATCCTGGTGAACTCTGACGAGCCCTTGGGGGTCCTGAGGAATATTCACGTGTCCTGAAGAGTCCTTGGGGATCCTGAATAATTCGAAGATATCCTGAAGAATCCTGAGGAGCCCAACGGAATTCTGAGAACCCCAGGGGGAGATCCAGAAGAATCCTTGGGGATCCCCAGGATTCCTTCGGGATCTTGAGGAATCCTTGGGGCTCGGGAGGAGTCCTGAGGAATCCTGAAGGGTCTTGAGGGATCCTGACGAATCCGAAAGAATCCTGGTGAGTCCAGAAGAAGCCTGGGGGATCCTGAGAATTCCTTGTGGGTCCTGGGGAAGCCTTGGGAATCCTGAAGACTGCCAAGGAATCCTGAAGAATCCTGAGGGGCACCCTGAGGGGATCCTGAGGAACCATGGGGAATCCTAAGGAGTCCGTAGGGGTCCTGAGGAGACATGCTGGATCCTGAGGAATCCTGAAATGTCCGGAGGAATCCTTGGGAGTCCTGACGAATTCGAAGATATCCTGGGGAATCCTGAGGAGCCCAACGGAATCCTGAGAACTCCACGGGGAGATCCTGAAGAATCATTTGGGATCCCAAGGGTTCCAGGGGGATACTGAAGAATCCTGGGGGCTCCGGAAGGAGCCCGAGGAATCCTGGAGGATCCTGAGGAATCCTCGGGGGTCCTCCGGAATGGCTCCTCTGGAATCCCAAGGAATCCTTGGGGGTCCCAAAGAACCCTTGGATATCCCAGAGAGTCTGGAGGGGTCCTCAGGAATCCAAAGGAATCCTGAAGGATTCGCGGAAATCCCGGGGACACCTTTTTGGAAACGCGCCAAGAATGCCGACCCCTTGTCCGGCCCCGTGGGGCACCTTACGCTGCCGCCCCAGTGCCAACCCCTTCTCCGGCCCCATGGGGCAAGCCCTCGGTTGCTGGACCTCTGCTTACCCTAAAGAATAAGCACTTGAGTTTTGAGAGGGGAAGAAGAAGATCTCAACAACAGGCCAAGGCTGGAGTCAACGCCTTACCGCACAACGGAAACAACAACAACAACAACAACAACAACAACAACAACAACAACAACAACAACAACTACAACAACAACAACAACAACAGCAACAGCAACAGCAACAGCAACAGCAACAGCAACAACAACAACAATAACAACAACAACAGCAACAACAACAACAGCAACAACGACGACGACGACGACAACGACAACGACAACGACGACGACGACGACGACGACGACAACGACAACGACAACAACGACAACCACAACCTCAACAACTGCAGCAGCAACAACAACAACGACAACAACAGCAACAGCAACAAAATCGACCAAAACAACAACAATAACAACAACACTAACAGCCAGCAGCAGCAACAACGACAACAACAACACAAACAACATCAAAAACAACAACAACTATATATATTATATATATATATATAACAAAACAAAAAACACACAAAAAAAACAACACCAACAACAACAATAATAACATCCCCGTCCTCCTCCTCCTCCTCATCCTCCTCCTCTTCCTCCTTTCTTCCTCCTACTCCTCCCCCTCCCCTCACTCATCGTCACCATCATCCTCATATTCATCCTCTCCCTCTTGGCCACCGCGAGAAAGTGGCCTTGGAAGTCCAGAGTGGGCGCTGGTGTGGGCTCCAGCGTGGGCACCGCTGGCGTGGGAGCAGTTTCAACATAGCCGTTGATCCATGCCAGCTCGGAGGTCACGCGAGCCCAGATGCCTGGGCAGGGAGGGCGAAAGAGGGGATGGGAGAGGAGAGGAGAAGAAGCAGAAGGAAGAGGGGCAGGGAAGGGGAGGAGGAGGAGGAGGAGGCGGAGGAGGCGGAGGAGGAGGAGGGGCAGGGAAGGGCGAGAGGAGGGAGGGAGGAGAGGGGGGGGGGGGAGGGGCGGGCGAGCAGGGATCAGAAGGGGGAGGGGGCAGCTTGGCCAGGTCGAACGAGCCAGCGGGCCCCGCCCATTCCCACCCTCCCTGGTTTTGAATTGTTGTTATAAAATGTATATGTATATGTATATATGTATATATATGTATACATGTAATATGTACATATATATACACACATATATATATAGTGTATACATATGCATATATGTAATACATACGTATATATGTAATATATGTATTTACATATATACATATCCATATACGTATACATGTATGTGTATCTATGTAAACATATGTGATGTGTTATATGTAGATAGGTATATGGCTACACATACTGTTGATCTAAAATGCTATATAAATATATGTATATATGCATATGCACATGTATATAAAAAATATATCCCTCCCTCCCATAACATAAGAAAACCGATGGCGCCACAGCTTGACCTTGGGAGTGGAGCGCGCTCCCGCCTAGCGAACGGAAGGCGCCCGCTCGCGGTCTCGCTTCGGACGACCCGGCAAAAAGGGGCAAACGATGGCCGCGCGCGCGGGAGCGGAGCTTCCGCAAATGCGTGGCCAGCGCTGCGGCGAGACAAGTCGCTCGCTCGCGCGCAGACCCGCCCCCAACGACAGGGGGGTGCACAGTACGCGCCGCTCCCAAGCGGGAGCGCCACTTTCAGGCGAAATCTATGCGGCGCCGACGCAAACTGACCATTTCGCCCACTCGCACGCAGTCCCGCTGTCGACGAATTGGAGGGCGAAAAAAGCGCGCCGCGCCCAAGCATGAGCTGACTCCTCAAGAGAATAAGCGCAGCGCCGATGCGAGAGCGAACTTTCGCCCTTTCGCTCCGGATGTACGCCCCGTCCCATTCCTGTCACCCTCTCTGCAAGGTGGACGATAAAACCATCCATGGTGAAACGAAAAAACGTTGACGTTGTATTGTTTATGGCGTGAAAGATGGGAGGGCCCAGATAGTGTCACAATCGGCCGGCCAGGCGGCCGATGAAAAGCAATATGCGCTTGAAAGGGAGAGAGGGGGACGAGAGAAGAGATGGGAGAAGGAGGACCAGGAGGAGAAGGAGCTGCAGCTGGGAAAGAGGCGGCGAGGGGAGAGAGGAAGGTAGAACGAGGGGCAGCAGGAAGAGCGAAGAGAAGGGGGGAAGGAGGAGGAGGAGGAGGACAAGGAGGAGGAAGGGTCAGACAGGGGCGGAGGGGAGAGAAGCGGGAGGGGAGAAGGAGGCTCAGGAGGAGGAACTGGATGATTATAGTTATGAGCAGAGGGAGAGGTGAGGAGGTCGGCAAGCTGGGAGGGAAGAAGGGAAGTATGACGGAACGGGCAGGAGGAGGAGGACCAAGAAGAGGGGAAGGCAAGGGAAGGGGAGGGAAGCGTGAGGGGAGAAGGAGGAGCAGGAGGAGGGGCATCCTGTGGCGAAAGAGAGACGGAGCGGAGGGGGATCCAGGGGAACGAGGAGGGGAGGGAGGAAGGAAGAAGGGGAGGGAGGGGGGAGGGAGGGCTGGAGGGAGGGAGGGAGGAAGGAAGGGGAGGGAGGCAGGGAGGGAGGAGGGGAGGGACGAGGGAGAGGGCCCTGCGAAAGGACTGCGGGCGTCGCGCGGGAGGCCCCCCCCCCCGCAGCCCTGGCAGCGCGAGCGCGGCGGTGCCCGCGGCCTTGGGGCACGGCCGCCCACCCCAGGGCCGAAGGTGAAGGGGCCCTGGGACACACAAATAAACACACACACACACAAAACAAAAGGATCCCCCATATCGTCTCCTACTTTCGGGGTTTCTGTCTTCCCCCCCCCTTCCCGCATTTTCCCATATCTTCTGGAGAATCGACCATGAATTATGTCTGTGTGTTTTTTCCTTTTCTCCCCTCTTGAGAAGGGCGCCACGGCGACGTGGCGAGCCCTGCGCCTCCTGCTGCTCGCGCGCGCGCGGCCTGCCCCGCGGCCCGCCCGGCCAGCGCGGGAGCGGCTCCGCGCGGGCCAGGGCCTGGCGCACGCTGCTGCGCGCGCTCCCCGCGCGCGCCGCGCCTGCCGCTCGCGCGCGCTCCCGGCAGCCCCCGGGGGGTCGGTCCAGAAGCGCCTCCTCGCCGGCGTGCCCTGCGGCCCGCAGCGGCGCCGTGGGGCCCTGGCTCCTGGACCTCCTCCTCCTCCTCCTCCTCCTCCTCCTCCTCCTCCTCCTCCTCCTCCTCCTCCTCCTCCTCCTCCTCCTCTCCTCCTCCTCCTCCTCCTCCTCCTCCTCCTCCTCCTCCTCCTCCTCCTCCTCCTCCTCCTCCTCCTGGCCCCCTTCACCTTCGCAGCCGTCGCGGCCAGTCCTCCAGCCGCAGGGCAACGCCCTGGCACGGAGCACAGTGCGCCTCTTCAGCTGCGGCACCCTGCCACGGGCGCCTCCCCACATGCACGAGGCCCTGGCACGGAGCACAATGCCCTCTTCAGCTGCTGCATCCTGCCACGGGCGCCTCCCCACATGCACGAGGCCCTGCCGGAGGATTCGGACGTCCTCGGAATCGCCGTAGTCCTGGATACCCCGGGCAACATGTTCTGATCCACCGCCATTTCCTGGGGAAGAGAAGGGGAAGCTGAGGGGAGACAGCGCAAGAAACAGATTGCCGTCATGCACGTGCACAGCCAGTACATAAGAAGACGGATACCCAGGGCCATCCGGCTCAGGCCGTAGATGCGGTTGAGCTGTATCAGCAGCTCTACACGATATTTACGCGATGCCGACTCCATGGCCGCGTCCACCGTGCTCCTGGCCCTGCTCCAAGACCAGCTGCCAGCACACGTCGAGGCCATCAGCCCAGCACCCTATCGTTCCAGCACCGACCCCGTTCCCTGAGATGGTCCCGTTCTGGCCGTCAGTGCGCGTCGAGGCTTCGTCCGTGTGGTCGCTAGTCAGCCCAAGGAATGGTGGGAGTGGCGCTGGCATCTGCTCAAGCTCCGGCCTCTCATCCACGACACCATCCCTCGCGATGGGGCCGAGCATCTTGTGAGCCACGGTGGTCTGAGTCTGAAGTTGTGCCAGCCTTTGCGCGAGCTCCAGCATCTGCGCATTGCCATCGCCACTGCTGCTGAGGCCGACCACCTCTTGCTCCTCGATACCCATGCCACTCAGGAACCAGGCCGACCATCGGCTCAGGGGAAGGCGGAGTTGGTGCAAGCCTCTGCCCCAGCATCAACTCCTCGCCGTCGCCCCCCCCGCTGAGGCCGATACCGCCCTGCTTCTCGAGCGCCGTGCGCTCCAGCAGCATCCCCTCGTCGCCCGCGACCCTGTCGAGGCCCGCCCGCAGCAGGGCCTCCGCCGCCCTGGATCACGCCGCAGCGATGGCTGGCAGAGCGGCCCCCAGCAGAGCTGCAGCAGCTTCCTGTGGGGAGACTCGCACTGCAGCTCGGCAGCGACCAGCCTGGCCTCCCTCCAGCGGCGCCTCGTCCGAACCGGCGGCCAGGCCGTCGGAACACAGCAAGCCCCTCGCCCCCCGCCTCCCCGACGAAGCAGGCCCTCGGCGCCTTCCACCTACGTGCGGCCCTCTCCCCCTTCTGTGCCGCGCGCCGCCCCGAGGCGGCTCCGCAGCTGGCGCCTCCAAGACTTGTTGTTCGGCATCGCCTTGGATCCGAGCTGCGGTCGTGGCTACGGCAGGGCTGCTGCGGCGCGAACTGGCGGCAAGGAAGAGGCCGGGAGGGACGGGGGGAAGGCAGAGGAAGAGGAGGAGGAGGAGAAGGAGGAGGAGGAGGAGGAGGGGGAGGAGGAGGAGGAGGAGGAGGAGGAGGAGGGACGAAGGAGGAGGAGGAGGAGGAGGAGGAGGAGGAGGAGGAGGAGGAGGAGGAGGAGGAGGAGGAGCACGGAGGAGGAGGAGGAGGAGAGGAGGGAGGAGGAGGAGGAGGAGGAGGAGGAGGAGGAGGAGGAGGAGGAGGAGGAGGAGGAGGGAGGGAGGAGGAGGAGGAGGAGGAGGAGGAGGAGGAGGAGGAGGAGGAGGAGGAGGGGAAGGGCCGCGGACGGCCGGAGCGCCCTCGGAGCGTGAAGCGCTTCGGGCTGCGCCAGGGCGGCGCCCCTTGCGGGTGGGCCATCGCACGGGGCTGGCCTCGCGCGGGGGGCTGCCCCGCCCCCTGCGCTCGGCCCCTGGCGGAGGCCGCTCGGCGGAGGCCGCCCCAGCGGGCCGAGGCGACCCGTGCCTCGAGCAGCGCCCCCCGCGGGAGCTCCCAGAGGCCCCCCTGCCGAGCCGGGGTGCCGCGCGCAGCCGCGAGGCCGGCGGTCGCAGCGCCGCTGACGGGAGCAATCCGAGCCATCGGAGGCCTCGCGTGGCAACTTGAGGCCCAGCGTGCGTCGGATTCACGTCGGATTCACGTCGGATTCGCGCCGGGTTTACGTCAGACACGCGGGAAAATCGCCGCGCGAACGTCGTCCCACGTCTGACGGGGCGAAAGTGTGGACTAGATGGTACAACTCTTGCGCGCCGCGCGAGGCCTCCACGAGCTTCCACAGGGGAAGCAGTCAGAAAGAACTCCAGCCCGCAAGGTGCACAGCAGAGAACTAGAAAGAGGCAGCCAGCACCCCTCCGTCCTGCCAGCCTCCTGGGTCCGACGAGCCTGGCGGCCAGCAAGCCCAGCGGCCAGTGCAGCCTCCTGCTACGGGACGCACAGGGACATACTAACACTATATGTCCTGCTTGGAGGCGCGCGTCCGACCCGAACATATAGTATACCCATCTTGTAGTAGATCGTTTCCCGAGCGGGGTGGCCAGAAAGCGCCCGCCACGACACATATACTATAAGATTGCTCGGTGCGCGCATCTGGGGGGGAGACGCACACATAGTGTAAGTATGTTGGGGTGACGCCGATGCTGCGCTGGACGCTGCACGAGCACCGCCGCATCGGAAGGAGGGGCAGCCCTGTCGGCCGTGGAGTAACACGCGGCATGCGGCCCTCCCGTGGCAGGCGCGTCGGGTTAGGCTGGGGGCCCGGTCGCCTGTGGCTCGCTGCCCCGTCGGTACCCCCCCCTTCGCAGCAGGAGGATCAGAAGGAGGGGGCGAGCGAGGGGAGGGGAAGGAAGAGGGGAGGGGAGAAGGAGGGGGAGCAGGAGGAGAAGAGAGCAGGAGCAAGGGTAGGGAGGGGAGGAGGGGAGGAAAGAGGAAGAAGGGAATGGGAGCAGGAGAGGGAGAGGAGGAAGGTCAGGGGAAGGAGGAGGAGAAGCAGGTCTTGGAGACGGAACGGAGATTTGCAGGCAGGCGAGGAGGAGGGGGGGAAGGGGGATAAAAAAAGACGAGGTAGGGACTTCCTGGGTACTGCGCGGAAGCGCACCCGTACCCCCAGGAGGTCGCGCCGTGGACGTACCACGTGCCGCCGCTCTCGCAGACCAGCGGGCCGCCGCTGTCGCCCTGGCACGCGTCGACGATGCTGCCGTCGTCTTTGACGCCCTGAGCGCACAGCATGCTGGCGGAGTCAATGCCGCCCCCGTACTTCGTGTTGCAGGTCGTGTGGCCGACGATGTTCACCTTGGCCTCCTGTGCGGGGCAACCTCTACACAAAAACATTAACAACTGGCAGCAACACACAAGAACTGACAACGTCTTGTGTTACATAACTATATACCAATGTAAATATGTACACACATACAGATACAATATTCCCAAACAGTGCTTGCACTTGGGGGAGCCTGCTTCAGTTCGAAGGAACTGGAGTGGTGTTGGTCTGGCGGCTGCGCTGTCGCCGTCGCCGCTCCGCCGCCGCCTCGTCGCCGCCCATCGTATGGGGGGGTTGTCGATGTGGCGGCTCTGTTGCCGCCGTCGCCGCCCCGTCGCCGCCTCGTCGCCGCCAATCGTATGGGTTTGAGTGTCGATTTGGCGGTTATGTTGTCACCGTCGCCGCCCCGTCGCCGCCGAAATGGCACAACGTAGATTGCACCGCAGATGTTGCACCGCATTGATTGCACCACCTAGACTGCACTACAAAATGTACACAACACAGGTTGCTCAACATAGATTTCACAACATATATTGCAACAACAGGTTGCGCCACATGGACTGCACCACATGCACTGCACCACATACGGTGTATGTATGGTGTATAGGTATACCTTGTTGTATGTGACTATATACACACACATATACGTATGTATATGCATATAGATATGTGTGTGTGTTGCACCACGCCGATGGCATCACGCATGTTGCATTGCATAGCTTGCGCAC